TCGAATTCCACCTAAAAGAAATTGCACGTAATGTTAACCAACTTATCCAATAAATTAATTCTATGCATATCAAAATTTTCGGAATATGCTTTCAAAAAACCACCAAAAAAGACTCACCACAAATGAATACTTTTTGATTCCATTCGTATCCGGCTCAACATAAGGTAATGTCAAGTTTTCGAAAACATCTGAAATGCAGTTCAAAAATAATTTCGCCAGTTTATCCGCATTCCATTGTATCATATTTCTGTGCAACATCATAGAATCATCGTATGAATTCATTAGCCACACTATTGCGTTGTAGAGATCAGAGAATTTTAGGAACCCTCGTCTTCGTTCCTTCTCTCCAATTCTTTTCAGGGCGCTCGCGTTTTCTTCCGACTGCGTGACTTTATTTCCATCTTCAGAACACCTCATCACTCATTTTCACAAATTGCGAGCGTACGAATTTAATTGTTTGTTAAAACTAATAGCTTACTTCATGTATAAAGGCGCATTTGACCTTATATCATCTTTGAAACGTTAAAACTTTTCCATCTACTTTCAACTTTCAGTATACCGAAATGCCTTTTCAAAAAATCAAGGAAAAGGATTTTGATTCAGTTCAACGAATTTCTAGAAGTAATGGGCGACATATCGCAATGTTCCAGCTGAAGCTAGCTTTCCTGGATCCTCGAACTTATTTCAACATCTTTTGAGAGAGAAAATGAAAATAAGTGATCAAAGATACATGTTTTCTGATTGTTTGGAGTCAGTTCAGTTTTAGAGCCACCAGCAGCAACGCGAGTTGCGATTACGTCAATGTTGTTTCTGTGAAGATGGTGCTGATGTATTCTGTGCTCGTCAATAGTTTTCATTTGATTTCCGTTCTCATCATCTTTATAACTTATTTTCGGTTCGGATGTTTCACTGGAATTCATCACTCAAATAACCAATGTCGATCGTTGCATTACGTCAAACCACCAAAATAAAAAAAGACAATCTAAAAAATGGATCAGTTGCGTTGTTGATTGTCGAAAATATTGAAATGATTCATTGCCAATTCAATGTTATTATTTGACATGATCTGAATGACATCTCAATTATCCAAGTGAAATTCGCACTTTTAGACTATATATTGGAAATTTATAAAACATTTGAATGACTGATAATTTTGTTCAGTTCATTTCTCCTCAACGTGGGAAGAGTCGCCGATTTTGATATTTATCTTAATTATTATATTATGACATGTCACTGACGATGGGCGACTGTGATATTTTGTTCTGGGAAAGAGTAAAATTCCTTGAACTTTCACCTCAGGAGTCTTTCAATCGACCGCTAAAAATTACTGCACTTGGAAGACGGGGAAGGGACTTAACCAAAATTTTAGCCCGATCATTTTTTGTACTTTTTTAATATTCGAATTCTGTTATCCTTGCAACACAACTCTAATGAATTCCAAACTTTTGAGATTTTCAAAATAAAACTTTGACGTGGAATATATTTGGTTTCCGATCATTTCAGACATAAAATAAAATATGAGTTTCAGATATTGAATACTTCTGTTAACTGTTTTCATATTTTAAAATGGTAGAAAACTTATGATTTGTTAAATAAATTATTTTCAAGTAATTATGGATGCAATGATTCAAAAGGAATATACTGGACATGTGACACTTTTATATTTCTAAAGTTGTGAGATCTCGAGATCGGCATTCCAATACATACATTGAAAGGTAGTTAAAACTTCGCAACAGCACATGTTACGTTGCGTATATAAAATCAGCACATTCAAACGATTTTGATTAAGCAAAATGTACTCACATCAACGAGATTTCGTCAAGATTTTTGAAATTGTTGGGATCGAAATCGCTTTTGTGTTGCTTTATTATGTTAACAATCTCTTGGAACTGCTGTAGAACTGAGTCGATTCATTACAGAATTTGTTTCAATGAAATGACTGATTCGGATGATATCTTGGCTTGCATTGGAAAGTTTGAGTTGGTCTATGGAACGATTCACTACCTCTGAGCATTCAATGGCAGATGAGCTAGTGTGAAGACGTACCAATAATGAATTGAAATAGTTTCCCACTTATTCAGCTCCCAAGCAATGAGGCTAATTGTTCGCAGATGCTGCATTCGGAATGTTAATTTAAATTTTCAGATTTTTGATGACAATAATATCAGAAATGAACGTAATAGTGGTAATATCGGTACAAATCTTAACAAAAACAGAGCTAATAACACAAAAAATGATACAGATGATGTTTTATGAAATTTTTGAATACCTCAGTTTCATTTTTTGAGTTATTTTTGAGCCAATTTGACATCACCAATGCCACTTTGTTGGCAATAGCTGTCTTCTCCTTATCACCGTTAACACTCGATATCTGTACGAAAAATCGTTCGAATGTACTGTCAAATTTTAGAAAANGTGGTTCAGCTGCACTATTTCAACTGTCAAACAGCAAGTGAGATGGGATCATTCTCACCATTCACCTAAGTCAAATCATTGTACACTATAGTCCCACTATGAGTGGTGTCAAAACATTATAACACTATCGAGATTGATTCAGGAACGACATTTGTCCCATGAATCAAAATCGGAAAGTAATACAATCAACAATGATGTTGATATGGAAACTTGTCGAAATAAACGTTTTCATTTAGTGATAATAAATTGTTACTTTGGTGATGATGAAATTCATCAGGGTTTTCAGTACGCCACTATTCAGCGCCATGAATGTTGGCTGAGCAACAATTTGTTCGAGGTTTTGAAAGACTTCCTGAAAACCCATCTTTAGTGCGATTGAGTTCAATTTTTGAACACAAGCAATTGGAAATTTTGAATGAAAGTTTTGAATAAAAGAAACTAGATAAAAGTGAGTGCATGAAATGAGAATTAAACTGATAACGCAAGTGAAACCTCAAGAATGGTATTCCTCCAGTCAGCGGTTAGGTCAACACATGCGATAGCAATAACAAGTGGTGCATACTGAGGTACTGCAATGAGCTTCAAAAGCTGCTCACTTATCGCTGTTCTCATATCCCACATTTGTAGTGCATTCGATGCAGCCAATGCCTCGACTATCTGAGTTCAGTATTTATTCGTGATTATGCTTTGCATTGATAAACGCATTTATGAAATCGGAATGTGATCAACTTAACAAAATGCTACCGAAAAGTTGACACTTCACTAAGAAGTCAATCGTGGACCTATAAATGCATAATGCAAGAAAGAATATTTCTCGCGTGAAACATATCAACTATCAATTTTAAGAAGGCAGTCGCTTATATGTGGAGGGGTGCATGAAAGTGCGAACTGATTTGTCAACTTCGAACATAGACATTGGTTAACTTAGTGAGTAAACCTTATTCAGAGCAATAACTGCTCGTCCCTTGGCGTACTGTAATGCAATATCAATTGCATCAACCGTTAAGCATGGCTGCGAGCTTTTGAGATGGTCCAAATTTATTACCACTGGGCATTTGCCTGAAAATTCAGATAGTGTCAGTGTTTTGACAACTGACACCGGCGCTGATAACTTAATTATGGATGGAGCTTCACTGACACACGATCAATAATTATAACTTAAAATTAAGTGCAAAATCACTGATCAAAAAATCAAATTTCAGTTTGCGTGATCACTCCTAGTGGAGTTGCCTTATGTCTCGGATTCAAATGCTTCCCTGAAACACCATGAATCTAGACAGTGTCAGTCACTGTACAGTGTTTCAATGTTGAATTCGTTTGGTTTCCCTGTTGAACGTGAATCAGAATCATTCAAACACTTTCACTGATGTGAAATTTTAGGATATTTCAATCGCATTTTGTGATCAACCACTGACCATTTGTAACCAGTTTTTGTATATATTTGGATGATGAAACAATTTGACGCTCGTTGATTCGGAATTGTTTATCGCCGAATTTGAATATTCTAAACGATGACGTTGATGGCGTTTTTTGCATGTGCTGCAAGCTGTCCAGTTTACGCAAAACGGTGATTAGTGAGTCAAAGCACTATGGCTATGTTGTTGACAAACGATTACCTGTGCAGTCAGAAGTATTAGGATGATATTGAACGATTCAGAGTTATGCCAGCTCAGGAATATCTCATCCGAAATTACGA